ACCCCCGAGTGCCTCACATAAAGTTGAGGGTGCCACCCAGCACCTGCGGATTGGGAGTGCAAGAGTTGCGCGTGCGAGCGTGTGAGCGTACAAACGCGCTACTGTCGGCTGACAGAGGAGCAGCAGGCGACCGGACGAAGCCCATCGCGCCCTGGCAACATGTGGACCTGCTCCGCGCCTTGAGCCGCACCCTGTACGTCATGCTGCCCCTGGCGCACAGGCACAGTCAACCTTTCAATCCCCCCCCCCTGCCTCGTCTGCGCCCGCGCACCTGGCCCAGCTGCTGCGAGGGCGTGGCCCACACCAGGAACTGGCCAAACACCTGGGCACGTCGGGTGGGCGCAGGTGACAACTTCAATCAGCCAAATGCTCCTGATAAGCACAATTGCAGAATTTGCAGTTGACAGCAGGGCGAACTGCTGTTGCAGCGCCGCGAGGCCGATGGCCGAGCAGCGCAGCACAGGTACCACCGCACACCGTGTAGTAGTAGAGTGACACCGTGAACATGAGGAGGTAGTGCACAAACTTCTCAAACGTCGCCTGTCATCAGGACCGCAGGCAGGTGTCAGTGCAGGGGGGGGGGGGGAGGGTGAGAATTCCAGATTAAAGGGGCCAAGGCGACGAAATCAAGGCCGAGCAATGCAAGTGGGTGACGTGGGCCGGGCCGGTGCGCCTGTTGTAGTGGTGGGGGCAGGTCGTCACGTCTGCGTGTGCTTGGTGGCGCCCCGGCGGGGCCCCACCTGGAATCCAACCATGAAGTACACCACAGGGGCAAACAGGACGGCCTGCACGGGGCGAAGGGACCACCAGGGTTGGGTTTGCGCACTCATGGACAGTCGTGACATCATCATTCACCATAAAATAGACTCGACCGTGCATAGGCTGCCCGCTGGCAGCCTCCGGCGGGCCCCTTGCCACCCCCTCTATTACTATCCGGGTATGCACGCGCCGTCATCCCTGCCAGGGCCCGCACCACCGCCCCTAGCGGCCCCGCGCCCAATCGCCCCCATCGGCACCACCACCCCCGGACCCCCCACCTGCAGCAGGATATATGGCAGCTCCACTATGGCCAGCGCGAAGCCGTAGCCCCACACCGAGTATGGGCGCGCCCCCGCCTCCCTGTAGTACACCACGCGCTCAGCCCCCATCACGGGCAGCACACTCATCAGGTTGGTCATGCCTGAGGGCGCAGCCACACAGCAGAGGCAGGCAGGGAGCGTAGTGGTCGGGTCAGCAGGGGAAGGAGGATGATAGCAAGTGGAGTGACTTTGGGGTGGTTGGGTCCACCCTGGGGGCGCTTGCCAGTGCCAGCAGACAGAGGGGTCGTGCGGTGCCACGCCGCTCTGTCTTGCGTTTTGATTGGCATGCGACGCGCCCCTGCCCCCCCTGCCGCCCTCGCCGCCCCTGCTGCCCCTGCCGCCCCTGCCGCCCCTGCCGCCCCTGCCGCCCCTGCCGCCCCTGCCGCCCCTGCCGCCCCTGCCGCCCCTGCCGCGGCGCCAGCGCACCGATGAAGTTTGAGGAGCTGAAGAGAACGCCCATCACGTTCTGGACGGTCGCGATGCTGGCCACGCCTCCGGCGCTCGAGACCGCCCCAACCTTTGAGGAGGCGCGGGGCAAGCAGGACCGGGTCACGCAGGCTGCGCGTAGACATGCGCGACGCTGCGGCACGCTGCCAAGGTGGCTGTGAAGCTGGATGGATGCTGTATCCCTTCCTCGGGTGCCTCTGCAGGGGAGTTTGCCGTGCTGTTCACCCGTCCAACAGCACAGCCGCCTCACTGGCTGCGGGATCATCTGTTGCATTTGTGGTCTCAACACGATTCCCATCATGTGCTCACGCCTTGGTATACTGCTCGTGGACCCCCATTTGACCCTGGCCTCACCTGGAAGTATATGGCCCCGTACAGCCAGCCCACGATGAAGGTCAGGGCCACGCGCGCAAAGTTGTACGAGGGGCTGAGCGGCAATGGGTGTTCAGGCGGGGGGAAGGACGGGACAGAGTGAACTGACTGGCTAAAGGTGGTGCAAAGGTATCCAAAAGCCTAAGTATCCTGTCAGCACGCTGTCACTTGGTCTGTCAGGCCCAAACTTGGCCATTGAAATGCTGGAAGGAGACTGGCCCCTCAATAGATAGTCCCTCAACAGGGCTTTTGAGCCGCCAGAAGCGCGCTCCTGTGCTCAGCACTTCGCACGACCTCCCCAAAAACTTCTTGCCTGCGCCAATACATCATGGTGTACTTGCTCAGCAGCTCACGCATCTGTGAGGGAAGTTGACGGGGGAGGGGGGGAGAGGCGATGGTTGGGGCGAGAAATGAGGCACGAAAGCCGCATGCAGATACTAGGATGACAAGGTAGACACGACAATGCCAAGGCCCCAGATCCCTATGCGGTCCGTGAATCACCCGCGACACCTAATGCTTCATTTCCCAACCATTTCAGGACCCGTGAGGCCCCACAGCCTTGAATGTCTGCATGTGCGCAATCATCGCTCGCACGATCGGCCCCCTCCTCCCTCACCTGCACGCTGAAGGGCTGCGCGTACTCCGAGGGCATCACGAGGGGCAGGCTGGCGGCGGCGCCCTCCGCGACCAGGCGCTCCACCTCCGCCAGGGCGGCCGCGGCCTCTGAGCTCTCCGCCCAGTGGGCGGGCCAGTCCACGGCGTTGGCCTTGGTGATGGTGGCCCTAGCAGTCCAGGTGGGGGGGGGGGAGGGGCACGGCTCTGGAATCAGGGCCTGCACTCGAGCATGTGGCCATCAGAATTGTTTTGAGTAACCACCGGCCGCGTCTGGGAGCGACCTATGCGAAGGGGGAATGCTTTGACCCCGCGCCCGCCCGCCCCCCTCACATGGAGCCGCCGGTGACCTCGAGCATCCAGGTCGCAGGGTTGGCACTGGGGCACAGGGACTCGGTGCCTGCGGGGCGCCAGGGCACCATCAGGAGGAGCTGAGGGGCGCCCCGCCAGGCAATGGCTCAAGCCTAATCCCCTGCCAACACACACAGCTACCAGGGCCGCGAGCGCGGCAGCGCACGGCTGCAATGACGTTCTGGCGGATTTCAGGCCCGTCCGCTGGCCGGCCCCGGCCCCACCTGGCACGCGCATCAGGTAGTCAGCCAGCGTCCTGCTGTGCTCGCCCAGGGGCCCAAAGTAGGTGGTGCGGCCGCCACGCTGCAGGAGGAGGAGGGAGTCAAAGGCCTCGAAAATCTCGATGGACGGCTGGTGGATGGTCACTGTGTGTGTGTTTGTGTGTGGGGGTGTGCGGCAGCAGTTGTCAAGGCCATGTGTTTGTATGCATGCTTGATTTGCTACAGGACCGGGCCAATACGACCACCACGGGCTGCATGCAGCGGGCAAGGCCGACAGCTTGCACCCGCTGGGGGTCGGTGGTTCAAGTGCCTGTGGCGGGGGGCCCTCTCTCACCGATGATGGTCCTGCCGCTGTGAGCACAGAGTTGCAAACATGCAGGAGAGGGGTGGGGGAGGGCAGCCAGGTTTGACTCAGCAGGACTTTGGCTCAGAAGCAGGCAGCACCGTGGCAGGCGCAGCTCCCACTGCCAACTAGCCCCTACCCAAAGGCCTGCACAGCCCGCGCCCAGCCCCGGCCTCACCTGGTGCCGATGTTACGCACCGCCCGCATGACCGTGGCCGCGGAGCTCGCGTCCAGGCCGCTGGTGGGCTCGTCCATGAACACCACGCTGCACGGGGGGGCCGGGGCGGGCGGCAGGGGGTCAGCCAGGCTTGCCGATCAAGGGCGAGCGAGAGCAGTGTGCTTCGCAACACGCACACCGGCCGAGTAGCGGAGACGCTGGTGTATGAAAGCTCCCCATGCTGACAACAGCTGTTAAAGCTCAAGAAATAAGCGCGCCTTGCCAAACCGCCGCAGTACCGCCGCCGCCCCCGCCGCGCACCTTGGGTTTGCCACGAGCTCCACCGCGATGGTGAGGCGCTTGCGCTGCTCCAGGCTGAGCCCCGTGCCGCCGCCCGGCCCCGCGGGGTCCCCCACCAGGCTGTGGGCCTGGGGCATGAGGTCCACAAGGTCAAGCACCTCCACCACCCAGGACCGCACCCAGGAGTCGGACACGGAGGGCGGGAGGCGGAGGCGCGCGGAGAACCACAGCGCCTCGATGACGGTCTTGGAGGCGGGGGGACGGAGGACGGGAGTAGTAGTAGTGGGAGGGCAGTTTTAAACGGATCTTGTGAAAGAAAGGTTGACCATGGACGTCAAGCCACGTCTTTGGCAGGAAACAAAGCTTCGGCACAATACAAGCTGCAGTCTAGCACAGCGATCAATAATATTCCGAGTTGCAACGCCGAGGTGTGGGCGGTACCACCCAACGCACCTGTGCTGCGGTGTGGATGTCGTTCTGCTCGCAGTAGCCGACCACGCGGCTCCACGACGCCTGCTCCTTGGGGTGGCCGTTGACCCAGATGTCGCCGCGCACCTCACCCACGGTCTTGCGGCCGCACAGCACGTCCATCAGCGTCGTCTTGCCGGCACCGCTGCCGCCTGCGCAGCGGTGAGGGCGAGGGTGCAGGTGGAGTAGGTCCATCAAGCGTGGGGCTTGCCGCCCGGTCGCGAAACAGGGCTGCAAGGTGCACCCCAGGCAATCGGCAGTGCTGGAACTTTCAGCAGCACGCCGCCGGTCTTGCTCCCCTTGCTTACCCATCAGCGCCATCAGGTCTCCCGGCTGCGCATAGCCCGTGATGCCCTGCAGGTGGCGGCAGGTCAAGGCAGGAGAGGGCGCAGCTCAGTGAGTGCTGGGGCTGCTTTGGACCAGCACACACGACGCACTCAAACGGCCTGATGGTTGCTCAGCTCCCACCTTTCGTGCATTCTCTACGCTGCAATGCGTTATGGTCCCTCATCAGTCCCTGCTATCTGCGCAACATCCATAATGTGCTTGTCCAAATCAGGGTGCTTTTTCTTGCCTTGATTCAACCTGACCCTTCTCACCAAAACCAAATCACAAGACATCACCCTGAACCCCCCACATCACAGGCTCATCACCTTGAGCAGCTCCAGCTGAGGCGTGGCCGCCAGCGCCGCGACTGCATCCGCCTCCGCCTGCTCCGCAGGCACAACAGCGCCCACAGCTGCGCCGTCGCTGGCGGCCCCCGCGGTCTGCGCCTCCACGTCGGCCGCAGCCGCGCCGTCCTTGTGCAAACCCTGGCTGGCCGCGGCCGCAGCCTCGGGCTTGTAAGCAGGGTTGGGCACAAAGTAGCGGATGTCCTTGAACGCCAGGGTGATCGGCTCCACGGGGACAGAGCTGAGGTCGCCCCCAGCCAAGGCCGCCCGCGACGGCGCGCGGGGCAGCGACAGCGCCAGCTCGCCCGCTGGAGCGGATGCGCAGCCGTTGACGCCGAGCGGTTGGAGGGGCGGGAGAGCCGCCAGCTGGATGACGGCCTCGACTCCTGGGTCGTCGCCCCGAGCAGGGGCGACGGACGCGGCGCTGTGCGGCTTGCTGAGCGCGCCGCCGGCGTGGATGCTGGAGCCTGGGCGTGGCGTGGTGCCCTTCATCTTGGCCATCTTGCCGCGCATGGCAGCCGCGTCGGCGCGGGCCTTCTGCACTTGCTCGGGGTCTGAGATCTGCAGTGATAGTGGTGTCGTGTTGACACGATGCGGGATGAGTGTGCAGGGAGAGTTGTGCTGATCCACAGCGGGGCAGCAGCAGTCGACTCGTTGGGGGTGCAATATGTGCAGGTTGCACAAATGACGTGTGACTGTGCACCATGTGTCAGGAGCCCAGCAAGAGCGAGCTGACAGACTGCCGGCGGGCCTGCAATCAATCAGTCATGTCGAGCGCCACGCGCCTGGGTGCGCCGCGACCCGCCCGTGACCCATCCGAGCGCCAGCGACACCAGCACGCTGAGCACTGCAAACAGGCCGAGCCTGTTTTGGTTGCGGAAGGGGTGGAGGAGAAGGGTGCGGCTGGTCATACACACAGCTACACAGACGTCGATGGGTTTGTGACGCAGAGCTTGAGAAGGACCATGCAGCCCGCTCTCTTGAAGAGTTGTCATGTCTCCTCCTGCAGCCCCATGCTGGCCCAACGCAGCAGTCCCCGATGCCTTCCGGCGGCCCAGGTTGCTCACAGGTAGCCGACGCCGGTCCAGACCCAGAAGTGCTCGGTGTAGAAGCCGAACGACAGCAGCGCCTCCTCCCCAATGGTGTGGGCGGGGTTGCTGGGTGCGGGTGCGGCCCACTTGTCGGTCATGAACTCGTTGATGCAGGTGGAGCGCACACCCCAGGCGAAGGGGCTCAGCCTGCGGAGGTTGGTTGTGGGCACGCAAACTACCGGGGTGCGTCCATCACACGGCTCAGCGGCCTTGTGCGCCACGTGCAAACAAGCTCGCAGAGGTCTCGGAGCCCGAGCATCACACCGCCAGAATGATGCCACAGGCAAGGCTAGTTGGCGAGGCTGCTCACCAGTACAGCCAGATGGCATATGGCGGGATCTTAGTCCGCACTGCGGTTTGATGCGCAAGCAGGGGGACCGTCAGCTGCGGGCTGCACCCTCTTCGAACTGCGTGCGGTCAGAAGAACACCTGCGTCCGCTGCAGGCGTCTGATGTCCTTCAAAGCTGGGCGCGTGCCCATCGCCATCGATTTGTCGGCAGAGCCCAGCCCACTTCGCACCGATGGTGAAGCCCGAGGTGACAATGAGCAGCAGCAGCAGGATGCCCGACACCGCGTTGACCAGGGGCGGCGTGGGCACCGCGACGGCGATGAGCCGAAAGAGGGAGGTGAGGCACAGGGAGGTGCTGGCCATCACGGCGAGGAAGGTGAAGAAGCGGGCCGCGTCTGGAGGGCGGAGCATATGGGGTTGGGGGGCGTCGTGAGGAGGACAGCGAGGTGATAGCACCCACAAGGCAACACGGGAACGGCACTTATGTTTTTGCTGAGTTGCGTGAAAGCATGCCTCAGCGAGCCTGGTGCTACCTAGGTTCAGGTCCTGCTGCAAGCCACACACCCCTATCCAAGTCACCTGTTGTGAACCCGATCATGAAGTACACGATCACAGAGAACACTGCAGCCTCCAGAAGTGTGACAGGCAGCTGGCTGAACGCCATCGCCTGTAAATGGGGTAGCAGTGGGTGTACGTGGCATTAAGACAATCTAGGAGATGGTAAAGTTGCGGTTAAGCAGCAATGTACTGGAACGTGTGTGTATCTCCATCGTGTGTGCGTGTGCTCAAGCTCAAGACAACAAACCAAACAGCCTCCCGCTGACAAAGCCACAGAAGACTCCTCTGGACTCAGCTGTGTACATGGCACATGCCCAGTGCATGTCATTACACCTCAAATCCCCCTCCTACCAATCCCTGCGTCCAGCTGGGGTAGTAATTTGAGTCTCTGTGCTTGAACCACACGGGTCGCGATGCCATCACAACAGCCACTTGTACCATGCCACCCTACACAGACGCAGCGGCCAGGGCACAGACAGAAGGGAGGACAAAGTTTCATCAGGTGAAAGTCAGCAGCAACGCCTAGACGCGGGCACGAGCAGCCGTCAGCTGCAGTTTGACATATGCAGGGGTCTTCCTGCATAATGGGTCAGACAGGGAGGGCAGCACAGTGGGGTTTACCCTTAACGCAGCTATATGCATTCTATAACTGCACGCTGCACACACCCTATCCTCAGCGCTAAAGCATCGCGTGGCCCGACTCACAAAGCTGAGGAACATGACGCACAGGAAGCAGGCGCCCAGTGTTGACCGGGCCTGCTGCAGCGTACTGTTGCCGAGCTGGAAGAACAGGGATCCCACCACCAGGCCGATGACGATCACCTGCCAATGGTAGGCAACAGGCGTCAAAAAAGGAGCCAGGTCAGAGGAAATCGACCGACCTGGCTTCAACAAAGGCAGGGCTCGTGTCAGCAGTGCGCCGCTTGGAAATTGAGGGGCGATGGATACAGTACCTGTCAGAGACTGCGAGTTGGCTATTAGTTGGCTTGTATCGTAAGACCCCATTGGCGCTGGCCCCCAATGCTCCCAATCGCTCCCACGCCCCACCCACCAGCCCCAGACCTTACGTTCCCCAGCCCCCTCCCCTCGCACACACACGCACTCACCTGCATGATGCGGCCCTGCAGGACCATCTTGTCGCGCCCCACCAGCAGCAGCTGCCGCCGTGTCACGTGGCACAGCGCCCTCCAGGGCGACAGCGCGTACCGCTCCTTGGGCAGGGCCGCGGGGTGGCTGCGCTCCTTGGGAAAAGGGCCGGCCGCCAGCTCCCGCTGCGCAGCCTGGCCTGGGTATGGGGAGGAAGATACAACAGCAGCAGCACCCTTAGCCATGTCATAAGAAAGCCTATGAGTAATAGTGCGTCGTGAGCTATCCATGCGCAGCTGCGACTTATATCACTGCGCCCCCGTTGCGCCACTGGCGCGGCACAACGCTCAGCACGGCTTACCATGCTCGTTACCGGTCCTGAACTGCTCCGCCATCTCAGCAACAGAGACGATCAGGTCCTGCGGCACGCTGCTGCGCGTGAGGCGCCCCGGAGCGCTGGGCGCCGCAGCACGGCCTGGCTCGCTCGGTAGCAGGCCCCTCCTTTCCCGCAACGCCTGGCATGGGTTGCGATACGTCCAATCTCAGAATTATATCAACGCTTGGAGTTGTGCAGCCAAACACGCGGCAGGCATAGCACAAGACCTTGCATCAGACCCTTAAACTTTCCTCGGGGCATCCGCCAAGCCAGGCGTGTCAGCTGCAGCCTGCTACTTGCTTGCGCACACACCTGCGATGCGTACGCCAGCTGGCCGGCCGGTGTGGACACCTCCTGCAGAAAAGAGGCCAGGTCCTTGCGTGGGGGGCGGTCAAAGCCCAGGGCGGCAAAATGGGGCAGCACCTCGGCCACTGGGCCATGGTACAGGATGGCCCCTGCAGCGAGGGCGCGCGCATGCGTGGTGTGGAAGCGGGCGGGTGATGTATGTGTATGCAGGGGTTGAGGGGGGGTAGAAGTGGGGTGCAGCAAGCAAGAAACCAAGAAAAAGGAGAGGCACAATGACGGACAAGAGAGGGGTGCCATGAGGGGTGCCAGCGGGGGTGTAGGGTGCCATGTGAGCTAGCGCTGCACATAGCAAGGTCCGCAATGTCAGATCGAGCAAGGTGGGCCGCGGTAATGCTGTCTTGCCAGCAGCCACGCCAACTTTGACCGACAACTTCCTACCCCTCGTGAGCACGCCTACTGCTCTCCTTGCCCCCTTGCTCCTTGCCCCTTGCCTCACCCTCGGCCATCAGCATGATGTCATCAAAAAGCTCCACCACCTCGGGAGCCGGCTGCAGCAGGCTGACGAGCGTCGTCATCTTCAGGCCGCGCGTCATCTGAAAGGTACACGAGTCCGGATGAATGAGTTGCAGATGGTTTTTATACAGCCTATGTGAAATCAACAGCCCTCAATTACAGGCATGCTGCCAGACAATATCAACCTCAAAAGCGGTGCATCTTAGGCGACTTCTGAGTGGAAGCGTCCAGGAGCCACGCACTCACCAGGGCGAGGAAGGTGACAACGCTGTGCAGTGTGGCGCTGTCCAGTCCAGTGTTGATCTCGTCCTGGATGGATGCACGACAGGGGCCGCATTGCAACAAAGGCTTTCTGCTCAAGCAAAGAAATTGTGGATCTGGGGTGCAGGACGCGCTTTCGGTGTGGTGGGTGTGGTGGGCGGGTGTGGTGATGGGGGTGGTGGTGGTGGTGGTGGTGGTGTTGGGTGTGGTGGTGGTGGGGGGGGGGGGGGTGGTGGTGGTGGTGGTAACGGTGGTGGCGG